TTTTTTTTATTTAGAAATACATTTCAATTTAAATATTGTGTCTAGATGATGGTCTTGATCTTTTATTATTAAAACAATTAAGTGATGCTGAACATGATGGCGATCCAACTGAAGCTAATTGTTTAGATCGATTCTTTAATCGATCAAATGTTGATCCATCATTATTATTAGATTTAATTAAAAGTAATTTAGGACATATAGAAGGTGCAGCTGGTATTGCATCACTTATTAAAGTTGCTATGTGTATGTATCATCGTGGTAATACAGCAAATATGCAATTTACTTCACTTAATCCAAAAATAGAAGCACAAAAATATAATCTACATATTGTTCAAAATTTGCTACCATTTTTGTTTCTTCCAAATAATGACAAAATAGCTATAGGTGTTAATTCATTCGAAACGGTTGGTTCAACGACACACTCTATTATTGAAGAATATCAACTAATAAATAAAACATCAATTCAAAATGGTCATATCGATGATGGAAATCATATTAAAAGCAAACAATATTTTATTTTTATTTTTTCAAGTAAGTTCTTAATTTCTTTTCATTCATTAAATGATTTATTTCTCTTCTTCAGTCAAAAGTCGTCAATCTCTTAATAATCAATGAATGATATAGATCATAATGATGATCAAGCTTTTCTTCAACGTATATCTCAACAACTTCTTCTCAAAAGAACTATTAGTTATACACATTTAGTAATCTTGATTTTTCTCAGTCATCAACAATCACAAGAACAAATTAATGCTTTTCTTACTAAAAAAGCATTACCAGATCTCACAATCATCACGTCCAACAAAAGCATTAGCATAGAAAATATGTTTTGTTTTTAATGGACAAGGTCCACCATGGTGGTCTATGGGTAGACAATTATATGAAAGTGAGCCTTTATTTAATAAATGGATTCATTTAATTGATGTAGAAATGATAAAAATTAATAATTGTGAACGAAGATTATTAAAAGAATTAATTGAAAAGAGAACTGAACGAGAATCTCGTATTAATGTTACAAATATTGTTCAATCAGTATTATTTGCTATACAAGTTGTATTAGCAGCTTTACTTGTTTCATAGAATATTTATCCATCATCAATTATATCACATAATGCTGATGATCAAGCAGCTGCTTTTGTTGCTGGTTGTTTAAGTTTAAAAGAAACTGTTCGTATGTAAGCTATTTCAATAAGTGAAGAAGAAGTAGAAAATAAAGTTCTTAAAGATATTGAACACTTGGCTTGTATGACTGTTGGTTATAGTCTTCGTCTAGTAACAATAAGTGGTGATGAAAAAACAATTGATGAAATACAACAAATACTTTCAATCTCTTATCCAAATGTATTTAAAGCACGTCTTCGTATTGAAAATGCATTTCATTTTCACATTAAAAGATATTCGAAGATTTCTAATACAAGGTCAAAAACAAATTTTTTCATCTAATATGTGCAAAAACAATACTTTATTCAAGTATTATTGGCGAACAAATGAATGATAATATACCAGTTGATTGTCAATATTGGTGGTCCAATGTGAAACAAGCTGTGAGATTTTATGATGCTATAGCAGCAACTATAAAAGATGAAGCAGCAAATGTTTTTCTTGAAATTTCACCACATCCAGTTTTAGCTACATCTATTCGTGAATGTTATGAATTAACAAATCAACAACAATCATCACCACCACTTATTCTCCTAACATTAAAACGAAAAGAAAATGAACAAATAACATTACTTACTAGTCTAGCACAACTTGCAACATCATCTCAAGTATGGCAACAATATTTTCATACTCGTCAAATTTTACCTATGAAAAATCATGAAGAATATTTTGATGATTTTCCATTATATAAATTTCATTTGAGTCCATGTTGGTATGTGTCAAAAGATTCATCTATACAACGTTTAGCTAATCGTATATCTACTCATCCATTACTGGGTATTTGCCAATTAAATGAACAAACAAGTGCAACATGGAAAAGTCTCATTAATATTAATTTACCACAACATGCTTTCTCAAAAGACCATAAAATTCAAGATGCAATTCTTTTTCCAGCTGTTGCTTATCTTGAACTTGCAACAGCTGCTTGTCACCAATTACTTTCATGAAAAGAAAATGATCAACAATAACTAACACTTATTTTTGAAGACGTAAACTTTAATAAAGCACTTATTCTTAATGAACATGAATTGATGGAAGTATTTGCACAAATAATTATGCCAATGAGTAAATGGTATATTATATTTTGTAATCAAGATAATCGTAATAAATATTCATTAAATGAATTTACTTTACATGCACCAGGCAAAATTGAAATAGATTCTAAACAACAAAAATCATTAACAATACCTAATACATGGACAGCACAACATATAACAAGTGCTTATGAACATCTTTCAACATGCGGTTATCAATATGGATCTAGTTTTCAAAAAAAAAAAATAAAAACATTACATGGTACTTCAACTACAATTATATCTCAATTATCAAATGATACTAATAATTGTTCATCTTATTATTTACTGCATCCATATCTAGTTCTATTACCAGGTGTTGAAACAACATTTCTTCCAGTACGTATTCCAAAATCTATTTATTCAAGTAAAACAAAAGCAAAAACGAATCGATCAACAAACGTTGAAGTACGTGGAAAGTATCATGATAATATATGTGTTATAGACCAAGAAGAAATATATAGTCTTGATCTATGGATATTTCCAATGGAGAATAAAATCGAAGAACCAATATTTACATTTGAAGGCGCTGTTATTCAATAAGTTCAAGGTGCACATTCTGGTCGATGGTCAATGGAACAAATAATTTATGATAAATTAAATCTAAGAACTGATTTACCTAATACTGATCATAAACCATATTTAGATACGATTATAAAAGATTATTGTATGAAAAGAGTATGAACTGATTCACCAATAATAAAAGATATATCACATTTACTTCCATCACCTAATCAAATTCTTAATAATCAACTTAATTCTATTAGTAATCAAGATTTAATTGAATCAATAGAACCATTTAATGAATTAGCTGTTTATTATGCTCAAATGGCAATAAAAGATCTTGATTTGAATCAGCAACATCATCCATTATTAAATGCGTGTCATTCTCTTGCTTCAACTTTACATGAATAAGTAACATGGCATTCAACACAACTTCGTCTTATTCAATTATGTCAACGTTTTCCTCGTTTAAAACCATTTTTAATAGCATTAAATAAATATGGTTCACATTTAAAAGATATTCTTAGTGAAGAAAAAAATGGTTTAGATATATTTGTTGAAGACGATGAAATTGGAGAAACCTTTCGACAAATTAAAACTCTTATAAGTGCAACTAAAATACAACAAGTTTTTCATACTATTTGTCAATATTTACAATTACAATATGAAAAATAAATTAAAGACAATTCATTTGAAAATTATCGATTATGTATATTATGGTTAACTGATAGTGATTGTTCAGATGTTTTACCTATTCTTGATCTTCTTCTTAATTTATCACAACAAACAGGTTTATTAATTGATTTACATTATGCAGATTCTGATCCAACACAACTTGCAAATGCTCAACAAACATTTAATACACATCTAACTAATCAAACGAAAAATTTATCTATTATTTATGATGAAACAATTGATTTATATGATAGTAAAACACTTGAAAAAATACCATTCGAATCATTTGATATGATATTTTCTTCCAATCAACTTCAAGCAAATCAAGATTTAACAAATTCTTTAATTGATCTTCGTTGTTTACTTGTTCCTAATGGTCTTCTTTTATTACTTGAACTAGTTCATATTCCACTTTATTTTGATCTTATTTTTGGTTTTATTGATCAATGGTGGTCATTATCTGATGATGATAATAATCGTGCATTAAAGAATATTCAACAATGGGTGATATTATTAAAACAAATCGAAGGATTTAGTATTATTGAATCAACAACAAATCAAAATGAAAGTACATTAATTATTAGTCAAAAAACAACATCGAATGAAATATTACAAAGACTTGATGAAAGAAAAAATCAGTTATGGTTAATATTTATTAAAGATGATAATAATAATATTCTATAGTCATTATTACCATGTTCAAATATTAAAATATTTCATATTCATAATTCCACTTTAGATATTTTTTGTTTTGGAATATCAGTTTTATTAACTACTTATAAACAAGTATCTATTATTTTTGCATGGCAACTTGATCAAGTATTATTGAATGAAAATAATCATGATTTAGTATTTAAACAAAATGAAGAACTTATATGTGGAACATTATCATGTATTCTTCAAACAATTCAAAAATCATCACCATATTTTTATCCATTTGTATATGTTCTTACAGATCATGCTCAATTTAATAATGATTCGAATCTTAATATAATTCCATTACCATTTATTGGCCTTGCACGAAGTTTAATAACTGAATATGAACGAAATCGATTAAAACTTATTGATCTTCGAACATCATTAAATAATAAATTAATATTTATTCATAGTTTAATAGAATATATGATTAATTCAAGATATTCAACTGATACTTGTGAAGTTGTTCTTCGTCTTAATGATACAAATCAAAATGAAGTTCAACATTTAACATGGCATTATGAAATGTTACAAAATAATGATGAACAAAAGAAATCTAAATACGAACAAATACCCATTATTCCTAAACGAGATGCAGATCAAAAACCATTTCGTCTTTGTGTACCACGATCTTGTTTTCTTTCTGAATTAACATGGGTCGAAGAAGATAGTGAAGAAGAACTATTACCATCAGATATGGTAGACTGATTTCGCTGGATTTTGTTGATCATATATCATCTCTTATTCATATTATACTTGAAGAAACATTTGATCTATTTGTTCAACATAAATTGCGTGCTGTTGAACCAACAGTTACTTATGAACCATCTCAAGTAATGCAAGCATGATTAAGATGTAATAGTGGTCAAGTTATGGGTACAACAGCTATTCGTATAACTTCATCTGATCAACCATCGAATATCAACAAAAACCAATCGAATAATTTATTAGAAGGTAATCATATTTCATATTTTCTTTTCTTTTTTTTCTTTTCTTTTCTTTTTTTTCTTTTCGTTCTGTTTCGACTATTGATAACCATTGTAATGTACGAGAACATATTTCGATCGCATCGTAATATTCATTTATAGGTCTACTCGAAAGAAAAGAAAAAAAAAGATGTTCGTTGATGTTTTTCACCTTTTTTCATAAATTTGCTTTAATAATAACTTTAATTATAGATCGAAAGCTCTACTATGTTACTTTGAAACATAACAAAATCTTGAAAATGGGTGTGGATGTATGTCTCTTCTTCTTTTTCAGTCATATCCACACCCACAATCGATCCTAATAACGCTGATCGATACTTCTTTGTGTTATAGTCACATGTGATTAACTAGTGTAAGAAAGAGATAAACTAAACGAATATAGATATAAGCTAGAAATAAAAACACTTCGTTAATCTTACTACTAGATCTAAACTTAAATTCAAATCTAAATTGTCAGTCCGCTTCGGTTTGAGTTTGAATTTGAGTTTGGTGCATGTCTATCCAGAGCTACATCTTCACCTACTCTTTTATGTGAACCCACTGTGCAGTAATAGGATATATGTATCATCGATGTGTGTTTGTTATTCTCTTCTTAATTTTTGTCTTCTCTTTTAATAATTTCGATAGGAATAAAAGAAATAAATTGAACGAATATTCATTTAAGTAAATGCTAGAAATAATGATCATCGTTATTTAAACATAGAATAGTATTCGTTTACTTGATTTATCGAAATATTTTCTATATTTCTCTTGTTTATTTAAGAAAATAGATGAAATTGAATCTAAGGTTCATGTAATGATTGATTGTATCAATAGAAATATTTGATCTATCATTATCATCATGAACTTTAATGTCACAAACTTGATATGAAGATTTTTAGTGTTTAATTTATTCGATAAGAGATAATGAGCAATTGTTGATATAATATGGATAGTTAATTGTCTTGAGGATGAATATATATTATCTTTACTGTCTATTTGACATTCATATTAAAAGAAAACTGTTATTTTCTAACGAATTCTTCAATATTTCGATATAAAACTAAATAGAATGAGCATAAATCAATGATAAGAATGATCAATATATTTGACATAAGTTCGAAGAATATTTTCAGATAGAAGAAAAGCTCAATAAAAATATTAAATCTTAGATGAAGAGTTTTTTCGATTGTTCTTCTCGATATTTCTATTTAAACATAATTCCTATTGATAACCATACTGAAAATATGAAAGTATTTATTAATTCTTTTTATATAGTTATTTCTAAATAGATTTATCAAGGATAAGAAAAATAGCGACTAATAAAGAACGTTAAGAATCCAAATCAAAAAAATTTGAGATTAAATCACGTTAATTAGTGCACAATACATTTAATGTGGAATTTTTTTGGATACTTTTTGTCTTAATGTTTATTCTTGTCTGTATAATAAGAAATTTTCTTGTCAATTACAACTGATCTTGGTTGTAAGAAAATTATCCTATGTACTCAAAATCAGTAGTTAATCGTCAATGATTTTCTTCTTCATTTTAGCGGTAAACTATGAGATTATTTACACGTGAACTTTTATTTTATCGTTCAATTTTGAAGGTCTTAGTACTAGTTTAACTAATTGAGCAATGTTTTTATTATAAAATTAAATATTCACATTAATTTCTGCATAGAAATTATGTAATAAAATAGATAAACAATAACCCTATATGCAATTTGATAAAGGGAGGAAAAAATTCCTTAAAAACGATGAGTTGTTTTTGTTTATTTGTGAAAGGCTTCTGTGCATATTTATCATCGCTCATCAATTAAAAATCTCGAGAAAAGAATGAAAAAACATAAGTGAGAAGTAGAATTATAGATTAATATAGAATCATTTAAAATAAACTACGCCTGGTCGCAAAAAATCGTTTTAAAACGAATGATTGTGATGACAAGGCTTATAGTACGATCTTTTTTTTTTTAAATTATTCGATGTCATTTATGTCATAGTAGTCACATTCATAACAAAAAGAATCTTTTTTTGCTTCAAATGTCTGTGATTATATCTGACTCTTCAATTTATAAATTCATAAATAATAAATTTGTAGTTTAGAATTGATTACTAAAATCGATGATTAAACATGATTTTCATGACATAGGATGTAACGATGAAACTCGTCGGAGTTTTTTATAGGATTTATTTTCTAATGGTGATAATATGAACAATAGTTAAATAGAATGAATAATGTTTCAAGTCAAGCTGTAATATTTTAAGAGAATTAGAAATTAAAAAAATCTTGCGTAATATTTCGTGTAACACTAATAATTTTTTTATTTATTTTATTTAAGCGAATATTGTAATAACTTTTTCATTATCTTTTATGAATATATGTCGAAGTTATTTTTTATTTAACAGAATAGGAGCTGAAGGATTGACGGTAAATATAATGTATCAACAAACAATTAATTAGAATTATTTTCTTAAAGTATATATTAAAAATAGATAATCATTTCTTTATCTTTGGCTTCTATACAATATGAAAAGGTCGATATATGTGCGCATATAAAAATCAATATTGATTTCATTTCGAAAGAAAAAAAGATATCTTACAAATGATGCGCTTGAAACGAAAAAGATGGATTTGATACTAGAATAGATCTTTTCAAATACATCATATTTACACTTATCGTTAATCATACCCGTCTATTATCATAGAAGTTAGATAAAACAAATGTAAGTTAGTAGTGTTTAAAATAAAAATTTGAAATAAATAAGCATCATTATCTTTTTTTATTTTGATGATAACTTGACAATTATTAGAATATAAGGCGAAGATTTCTTGACTATATCATTTATTAAATCAGTTTTAACTCAATAAATAACTCACACTTATTATTTTATTCTTTGCGAAGTTAAAAAATCTCAAACTAATTTACAGAATTACCGATCATGTATAATAGATCGCTGAATTTCAGATGGTTCTGATGATAAAAAAATGATGTCGATGGAGAAATCATCGGGAATCGAAATAGTTAAAAAATCTAAGATAATTGATTCTATATTGCAAAATAAATAAATAAAGATTTTGATTGTATTTAAAAATTGACTTGATTTTTCTTCCATAAATAAAATCGATAAAAAAAGAATTATTTTTCTCTTTTCTTTTCATGGCTTATTTACTCGTCTTGGTTCATTAGTTTTCTTGACCGCATATAAGTTTCAATAAGAGCAATCAACGATAATATTAAAATCTAAACGTAAGGAAGAGTGACCTTATAGATGGCTGTTTGATGGAACAAGAAAAAACGATAATTATAAGCGTTAGAAATATTTTTTTGTCGTTACGAACAAAATAACAAAACGCAACCACGTGGAAAAGAACGTGTCTGTTAGAATATTTTCAAATATCTAAATAAAACGACTTTTATGTAGCAAACCATCTCTTACACTAATCTTACAATTACAATTAAAGACTGAAAAATAAAATATTTCTATTGTGATATTTGAGCAACGAAGAATAGAGTTAAGTTTATTCTGATAAAGAAAATATTTCATTTCAAATTGATATTAATAGAAAATAAGATAAAGAAGAATTTGATTATTTTAATTTTATCTTATATCTTAAATAACTATTTAAACATTTCGAGAGAATCAAATTCTTTTTATCTGACATTTTAGAATAAAATACTTTGATTATTCTTATTTAAAAAGTCTGAATAGTGACTTTTAAGATGATCGGATTGGAAAACATTTTTTATATGATATTAAACTATTAGTAGAAATGAATTTAAATTACGTAATCGAATATGAAGCCAACTTCGCCTACGTGATCTTATTATTATTGCTCTTTATTAGATATATATTCGATTTTTTTCATTAATAGAGAACATTTTCTCAATATATAGAGTGATAGAAGAAAAAATTCAATATTCTCTTACTCGTAGAGAAGAGTCTTAGCAAACATATATTGTCAAAATTTATTACATAAAGTAGGTTTCTCTGAGCAATTAGCAACTCGTGTTGAAAGAAAGCGATTCCAAAGAATAGAAGTTTTGATCTGCTATAGAAATCTTTCACTTAAAACTACTTTGATAAATTACAATTCGAAACCAGTAAGTTTTTGTATAGAATTTTGACAAAAAATCTTAGCTGGACATGATTTTATAATATAAATTCTTATTAAGATTTACAAATGAAATTGCAATACTAAGGTTTTTCGTGAAAACTTCTGTAGTAATTCTTTTAATTTCGAAATTTGAATTTTTAAAGTAACTTAATGTTTTATAAAAATAGACTTAGTTCCTTTGAAACGGACTCTTTAAAACAGAGTTATTGATTATTCAAATAGAGAAAGCATACTAAAAATGATTTTCACATTAATTATAAAACTGTTTTTTTCGATACAAAAAAAATAAAGTCTCTTTAGTAGCATAGAAATTGAAAATGGTAAGGTGTTTTCGTATCTACTTCAAGATTATATGAATATGAATCGTTAGAAATTCATTAATCTTTGCACTAGAGTAAGATAAAGAAGAATCCTGTTGTCAGACTATTTCACCATTTTATAACCACTGTATGTACAATAATTTACAGTAACTTGTTATTTCAAAGACATCCTTCATAAATACGATTAATAGGAAACAGTATCAGTATAATTCTACATTTACTTATGATAATACGTTATTTGTTGTGGAAATCTTTTTTTGTTAAAATCTATAATAATTAGTTAACTTACTAACAGCATTAAATTAATATTTTTTTTATTATCTAATATAAAACCATAGCTACTCAATCAATTCTCTTGTTTCATTTCGGAGTATTATAAGAAGATTGTACATTGGTTTATCGTACTTTTGGTAATAATATCATTCTCATATGATGTGATCATATTCTTATTTCATATTTTGAAATATCTATTTACTTTTCCTCATCTTCTTTTTAATTTGTAGATTTTATTAAGCTTCTTATTTTATATTATTAATTTATTACTTTATTATACAATGCTTTCATGTAATCGACTAGCAGCAGGAACAAATGCACACAAAGAACCATAACTTAAAACTTCAGGACGAACAGAATCTGTTGCTTCATTTGTTCAACAACGAATTTGGCTTCAGGAACAAACTTATTTTCATTCTTCCGACCTGCCTGTTCATAATATTTTGGCACCATTGATAATCAAACAAGGTTCGCTTTCAATCATTACCCTATGATCGACATCGTCTCTCAAATGAGCATCGAAGTGGTCGTGGAACATCAATCTCATTTGATTTTGGTCAAGATCTTTCATATGATTTTCTTAATTATGCATTAACAAACAATAATAAAACCTCAGCATCTAGCACTTACCGCTTATTATATGTTCTTATTTAAGTTAACTAATAGAGAAAGAGATATATGTATTGGAATGAATACACATACTCGATATAAAGATGAACTTAAATCAATCATTGGACTATATGATAATCTTATTCCATTACGATGTCAATTAGATCGTCATGATTCATTTCATCAATTAGTTGAGTATGTTCAAGAAATGGCAACAAATTGTATGAAATATTTATATTTTCCTCTTCAACATATTCTTGCACAACATTCTGATAGTTTAAAACCTACATTGCTTGATATATCTTTTGATTTTATCACAATTGAGAAGAAAATAATGACTGGTGATAGTGAACTTTGTAGTATTCCATTATCAATTGTAATGGATGAAGATGAAGATGTAAACAAGTTTGATTTCGTTCTTACTATTCAATATGATCTCAACATAAATCAATTCTCATGTATAATTAATGCATCACTCGATTTATTCAATCAAGAGACGATAAATAAGATTTCACAACAATTTCAGTCAATATTATATGACTTGTTTACATCTATTAATAATATGACGAAGAATAAATCAATTTATGAAATATCAATAATGCTACCGAATGAAAGATTACTTATACAATCAATGAATAATACACAAGTATTGTTTCCTTCTGTCACTTATATGCATCATGAATTTATTTATCAAGTAATACAACATCCACAAAAAATAGCTGTTGAACTTGATGAACAATCATTAACATATACAGAACTTTCATATTATGTTCAACAACTTTCTCTCGTCTTATTGAATAAATACAATGTGAAATTAAGTGATATCATTTGTCAATGTATAGAGCGAAGTTTATCTATGGTAAATATATTTAAAAAATATTGTTTGCAATAATATGTGTATAATATATCCTTCATTTCTCTTTAGGTCATTGGCATTTTATCAATTAGTATGGCTGGCAGTGCCTATTGTCCTTTATCATCACAAGATCGTTCACAACGTCTACAAATTCTTATGAAAGAAACTCGAAGTCATCTAGTTCTTGTTCATTCGTCTACACGTATTCTTTTTGAAATCGATATTATAACTTTAAATATTGATACAATTATAAATAATGAAGAAAATTCTACTAGTATTCATCTGACTCAAATGTCAGATGTACCAATAACACCAGAAAATATTCTCTTTGTAATTTTTACTAGTGGATCAACTGATATTCCGAAAGCGGTTTGTATAATATCTTTTTTTTTGGCTATTTGTATTTATCTTTTATTAGGTTCAACTACGTCATCGAAATTTCACTCAATTTTTACGCTTATTTGTTCGTCCTGATATATTAACAAAAACTAATACAATAATACGGATAGCTCGATATTTTTTTGATAATTACCTATTAAGTCTTGTTGGTACATTAACTATTGGAGCTACGTTAATAATACTTCGACCACAAGGTCATATGGATTTAGATTATCTTGCAGGAGTATTGAATGAAAAACAGATTACTGTTATACAAGCTGTTCCATCTTTATGGAATAGTCTATTTAATTTTCTCAATACTACTAATCGAAAATCATCAGTACAATGGTTACGAACTGTATGCAGTGGTGGTTACTAATTGTTATATTATTATCATATTCTTTTCGACTTATTCTATCATAGGTGAAGTTCTTAACAATAAACTAGTTGATTTATTAAAAAGTCAAGTGAGAAGTGATTGTCGAATTCGAAATCATTATGATCCAGCTGAAATTACTATTAATTGTATCAATCGTCTAATTGATCTAAATAAAGATCAAACAAATATTCCAATAGGTCAATCTCTTCCTGATTATCAATTTTTAATATTAGACATGTTTTTACAAACTGTTGGTATTGAACAGGAAGGAGAACTAGTTGTTGGAGGTGTTGGTGTTTTTGCTGGATATCTTGGTTGTGATGATTTAACAGCTAAAATAATGATTAATATTAATGAATAAATATTTATAAAACAGGTGATCTTGTTCGAATGAATAGCAATGGATTAATTCATTATGTCGGTCGGAGAGATTTTCAAGTGAAATTACGTGGACAACGTATTGAATTACAAGAAATTGTACAATGTTTACTTATGTTAACATTCATTACTACATGTATTGTTATCAAATGACATAAAAATCATCTTATTGCTTATGTTCAAAGTGATGAGATTAATGTTGAACAATTACGTCAACATTGTCAATCTGATCTGCCATCACATATGATTCCATCAATATTTGTTATACTTGAAAAACTACCTTTAAATCCAAATGGAAAAGTAGATCGAAAACGTGTTCCACCACCAGATTTATCATTATTGACTCTCTCATCAACGTCATCATCATTAACAACAGCATTAGAAAACAGTTCAAGTCTTCCACAAAATCAATTACAAAACAGATACATGATATTTGGTGTGAAATTCTTCGACGTATTGGTCAACAAATTTCAATAACTGAAAATTTCTTTAGTATTGGTGATCATTCACTTCTATTTATTGAACTTTATCATCGATATTAACAATTTATTACATTATCAAATATTCCAGTTAAATCAAGAATACCAGAAGAATTTTTAATAAAGCAAATTTGATTTTCACCAATATCTTGAAGATATTTAAAAAAAACTAAAGGAAAAAAGTGGATCATATTCATTGTCAATTGACAAATATAGTTTAAGATTTAATCGATAATGATATAGTATACTTAAAAAATATTCGTCAATCATCATTTTCTACTCTTATTAAATAAATTCGTTGTAAGTTATTTAAATTAAATTAAATTAAATTCATATTTATTTATTTAAGCCAAAGGTCAACATGATGGTTTCATAACGAAAGATGCATCTGTAGATTTAATTTATCTTGGTGCTCGCCTTCATCATTATGATTGTTTACTTGAAGGAGAAGTTTCTTTATCAAATTTATTATGTAAAATTCGAATAATTATATTCGAGAAATAATTAGTCAATTAATTTCTCATAGTTCATCTGTACTTAACCAATATCAAAGTGATGAACTTACAATTGTTTATGGTTCGATATTAATTCAACCAATACTTGTTTATTATCAACAAATATTTAAACAAACTTCTTTTATACGTCAATGGAAAAGAAATTTTCCACAATTTGTTTTAAATATAATTATAACTAATAAAGATCAAAACCCAATGAAAAATATAATTGAAATGACATTTCCAACACATTCATTATAAGTAACAAAATTATTAAATGAATTGTTTCAACAAATCTCATCAAAAATTATAATTAAATTAAATTAAATGAATATCAATTTGAAATTCCACAAAATTCAAGTCTATTTGATCTTCAATGGTTTTTATCAAATTACCATTCAAAAATAAATTTTTATTTTAATGGGTGTGAGTGTGGATACTAGTCGTCTCTCTACAACACACCCCCACCATAACCACACTCACACCCGCATCCAAAACGACACCCATACATGATAGCTTAGATCTTCCTTAAGTTTACATCTAATGATGTTCAAAATGGTTTCTTGATATGAAATAGGTCAAAAGATAATAAAAAGAATCAGTCTGACGCAAAATATTTACTACTAGAATAATATAAAAAATTCATTTTTTGTTCTAGATCAACAATAAACAATTAGTAAGAAGGCTCAAAAAGTTTTGTGGTTAATTGGCATCATGAAATTCCTTTTTTTATATATGATTCAATAGAACTCGTCGAGCTGACCATAGATACCATCTTTTAACCTCTTTGTGATTAATTTTTTGCCAGAAAAATCAATCAGAAAGAGGTTAAAAGCTGGTGCTTGTGACCAGCTCGACGAGTTCTATTGAACCATATATAAAAAAAGAATTTCATTTTTTACTCGGTTTTTGTGCTGAGTGTATCTCAATTGTATTTGTGCTAGTTAGAATATTTTTCATACTGCTCAATATATCATCGTCGTCCCAAAACTCAAATATGTCTGACACAGAATCGTCCCATCAGAACGCGTACACTAAAGATGCCGTAACATCCAAACATGATCCGGAAGCAACACTGAAATCGATCGTTATCCAAGGTAAGGATCTCACTTTAGAACAATTGGTACAAGTTGCTCGACATTACTGCAATGCTGAATTATCGACTGACGTCAGTATCTGTAGTCGAATGGAAGAATCGGTCGCCATCATTGATGAGATTGTAAATGGATCACAACCTCTTTATGGAGTTACGAGCTTGTTTGGCGGTCTTGCTAATCGACTTGTATGCAGGGAATTTGCGGAAGAATTACAAAATAATTTGGTTCGTGCTCATAAAACTGGCGCTGGTTCCATTATGCCACTGGAGGCGATTAGAGCAGCCATGATTTTACGGGTCAACGCTCATCTTATTGGTGCTTCTGGAATCCGTCAATTGTGGGACGAGCGATTAGTACGATTCGTGTCAGAAGGAGTGACTCCGCTGGTTCCCGAGTTTGGTTCAATAGGAGCATCTGGTGATCTTGTTCCGTTATCTTATATTGCCTCTGCTATTTCGGGTCAAGACGAAACACTTCGTGTCGATTTTCGAGGTGAAATAATCAGTGCGCCTGAAGCTTTACTTAGACTTGGATATAAACCGAAACGATTTCTTCCGAAAGAAGGTTTAGCTATGTTGAATGGAACTAGTGTTATGACAGCGTCAGCTTCATTGGCCTGTTATGATCTTTATACATTGATGGCTGCTACTCTTCACGTCCACGCCATGGTTCTTCAAGCACTGACTGGTAGTAACCAACCATTTCATCCATTTCTACAGAAAATCAAAGGCCATCAGGGACAGGTAAATAATAAAAATTTCGACGTCAATCTATTAGATAGCCAGATAAGTTATGATAGTTTTCGCAAAAACTTTGAAGGATTGTTTTAGCATGCCAGCCACAAAATTTTGTCAGATTATGTTAAGGGGCGTAACAAGTGACTTAATCGATCTCAGTTAGACTATCTGAAATGGCTACAGCAGGCTGTCTTGAGGGTGTGGGTGGTTATGATCGCATCCAGTCCCAAAAAGATTTTTCGATTTCCCCTACCGAAAACGACCCAAAAATGAGTCAATACTACTTTCAATGAACTCCAGAACTCATTTTCGGACTAAAATCGCACTCTATGAAAACAAATCCTAGATCCGCCACTGATGCACAACTGCTATAAAAAAAAGTAAGATACGCCGTGTTGCCCATTTAATTCTCACTTTTAAAGCTTAAAAATGGCGAGAAACTCCACATCTTACAACAGAAATACTCAACTAATTCCTACCTTTCAGCTTCAATGAGATTAAGGAAACTCAAGAAATGATCATATTTATTGGCCTCTAGAGCTGAATTACTACTGTTATACAGAATTTTTGGCAGACTTCTAGATAGCCATTGAAGGATCATTCCTTTCGACTGAATTTTTTAAAATAATCTAACGAGAGAATATTTCTAACTGTCCAAACAGTTTGGAGTTCGAACCTTGCGTATTTAATGAAGTTCAGTGAGATATAGAGAACATCAAAAACATGAGATCTCCTTAGACTTTCTGCCCGGAGTTACAAACATTTCACAGATATTTTAGTTTATAACATGGCATATAACAAAAATTTGAATTCCGTTGTTCAGAACTGAAAGTATGCCCACAAATAGGTCTGTTTAATAGTAGAACACTCTGCAATTTTCAGCTCAACACACCGTTGTCTTCTTCAGATATTCAGTTCGCTTTTGAAGTCTATGAATCATTTTTAAAACTTGAATATCTTGAGGCTGAGTTTGAGTGTTAAGTGAATACAGTATCCACACCCACACCACGCCCCCCCCCCTACAACCCTCCTCACCCTCATCAAGATGAGTATTTTATAAGTTGCAGTTTTATAAAGCCTTTAGGGTGTATTAATGTACTGTCTCTTGTATAATGTAGTAATTCAACTCCAGATGCCCATAATGATGAACGCTTCTAGAGTTTTCTTAGTTCTACTAACGCCTTTTTACAGATAAAAGCTGAAGGTAAAAGCTTGAAATCAGTTGGGATAGTTCCCTCATTCGGTTTCGTATAAAGTATGTTATACTAGAACTACATAATAGAAAGTCAGATGGAATTGTTTCAGACTTCTTGTTATGCTTATTCAACAAGAAATCATCTAAATTTTCACTCGTGTGAGATCATGCACTTTTGTTAGAAATAGAATAGAGAGTAAAAATATTAAAAAAACTACAGGTTACGTTCATAAAACATTGAAATATCAACACTGGTAATTGAAAACACCTAGTACGCATTCAATTATGAAAGAAATTGAATATGATACAAGTTCTATTTTTTACTTGGAGATCGATGTAGCAGCCGTAATACTCGACTTGTCTGATGGCTCAAAAATGATTTATGATGCACTCGATGGTAAACTGACAAAACGAAGCGTAGAAGCACTAATCCAAGATCGATACTCATTGCGATGCTGTCCACAGTTTCTTGGTCCAATGCTTGAAACTCTACATGACATTGCTCGTATACTTGAAATTGAAATGAATTCTGCCAATGACAATCCACTAATTGATGTCGATACCCGCAAAGTTTACTGTAAGTATCAAACACATTCTATTACATGTCTTCTTCAGAATAAAATTGAATTAGAGCTGTGAAGTATTTTACCAAAAGGAAAAGAGTAGAATATTAAACTCTTAGAAAATCTCTTGGAATTTTATAGATCCCTGAGAAATCTGAGGAAATTCTAAAGAATTGTTGAGAGTCCTTAGAACTTATCGGAATTTGTGTGTGTGTGTGTGTGTGTATTTCTTAGTCATAAACTGTAGTGTTCATCTTTTTGATTACAACCAAATAAACCGACACGTTTTGCAATCGTTTTATTATCATATACAGGTGGTGGCAATTTCCTCGGTGAACATGTGGCCATAGCTATGGATCGACTTCGACAAACTGTTGGTCTTCTGGCGAAACACTTAGATGTGCAAATTGCTCAAATGGTAACTCCTGAATTCAATAACGGTTTGCCCAGTTGTCTTATTGGCAATCGTGCCCGAGAAGTGAATATTGGTGTCAAAGCTCTACAACTCACCGGCAATTCTGTTATGCCCTATTTACTTTTTCTTGGTACACCGATGGCTGATAAATTTCCAACACATGCTGAACAATACAATCAAAATATTAACTCAATGGGTCATATGTCTGCATGTCTTGCTCGAAAATCTATTTCCGGTTTAAGTCAACACATAAGCATATGTCTTCTAATTTGTGTCCAAGCACTTGATTTACGAGCCAACTTGATTGATGAAGAAGGCGGTTATGATGCTCGCCTATTGGTTTCAAGCAAGACTCGACCAGTGTACGAAGCGATTAGATCAGTCATTAGTGTACCTATTAGCAAAGAGCGCCCGTACATTTGGGATGATGGCGAACATGCACTGGACCAACAAATTGCTTGTGTCAATGCAGCTCTCACCACGGATGAAAATGGAGTTCTCTTCAAAGCACTGAAACCTACTATTGACGGGCTCCGTTCCAAACGCTACTCACACTAAGTTTTCACATTACAAAAAAATTCAATTCCTTTTCTACAAAATTAGATCACCATTAGATCAGATGTAGAACTGGATAAAACGACATCAATTTTTTCTAAATAAGATCTTTTTCCTCTCTTATAATAAACAAATCTAATCAGAACATAAAAACGCAACATACTATTCGATTATTTCTAGATTAAGCTTCCAATTTTAGTTTTCAACAAATTAATTCAACTATGACAACATCATGCTATGCGATACATAATTTATTTAATATTGCTCGATTATATCCTCAGAAGATAGCAATAATGCTTGACGATCAAGTATGGACTTATAGCGAGTTGATTATGCAAGTACAACGTGTTGTATATCACTTACATCACTTATGCGTAGTTCAAGGTCAAATAATCTATCAATTCGTTGAACGGAGTTTTGAGATGATATGTGGCTTTTTGGCTATCATATATGCAGGTGGAGTGTATTGTCCAATAAATCCAGCAGTACCGTCTGATCGTCTCAATATACTTCTTGAACAAATGCAAGGTCAACATGTTTTAGTACATGAGAAAACTCGTAATCAATTTCCAATAGCAGCCGTTCAGCATGTTATTATATTAGATAATATTCTTTCTTCATTACTGGATGTCGAAGACATGAGTGATCTTCCAATTTCTAGGGAGTATGGTGCTACATTCATCATTTTTACTTCAGGTACTACTGGACCACCAAAAGCAGTTGTTCATACATATAAAAGTTTATCGGCTAGTATTGCTGCTTTTATCCAATGGAATGCCGATATGTACACCACTCGAGATCACGCTCTTCAAGTTGCTACATGTTCATGGACTTTACATATTACGGAAATCTCATTGCCATTAGTCGTCGGTAGTACTCTTGTGCTTCTGCGACCAGGTGGTCATTTAGATGTGGCCTATTTTTCTCAAACTCTAATGAGGCAACAAATAACGATACTACTAACAGGTCCTGCAATAATTCGAGCTCTGACTAATTATATTGAAAATACCCAGAAAACGAAAACTTTCGATTCTGTACGGCATCTATGTATAACGGGTAATAATAAACTTTTGATCTATTTTTGATATCGTAGTTCTTACTCATTTTGCGTAACATAGGCGAAGCAATGAAGCCACATGAATGGATTCAATTTATTAATTTGCTAAGCTCTTCCAATATTCAACTTTATTTTATATATGGCATGTCTGAAAGTAATGGAGTTTTTGGATGTCAATTGTTAAATATCAAAGATACAAATATTCCTATTGGATATCCATTCCCAGCTACTCGATGTTTGCTAATCGATGATGATGGCAAAATTATTAATACTACAGATAATTCAAATAAAATTGGTCAAATTCATATAGGCGGTGAGTAGTGTCCATCCCGAGTATTTTCTTTTATATTATGTATTTTTTAAAAGGACCAACTTTATTTAACGGCTATTTAAATGATCCCGAACATACCGCTACCAGGTTTACAACCATAAATAATCAAGTTTATTTTAAAACAGGTGATTTGGCTCGATACAATGCGCAAGGAAAGCTTTTTTATGTTGGACGGGCTGACTTTCAAATTAAAATACGTGGCCAACGAGTCGAAACAACTGAAATTGAAAAGACTATTACGAATTCGTATCCCAACAAGATTTCCGACTGTGTTGTTACTAAACTGGCACAAAATGATGATCTACTTGTCGCATATGTGGTCTCAAAAGAATCCGAGCTCGACACTGAACAAATTCGAAATCACTGCAATAAATATCTTCATCAATACATGGTACCATCCATCTTTGTCTTCTTAAAACAATTGCCTTTGAATGCGAATGGAAAACTCGATCGACGGCGTCTTCCAATACCTGATATCTCACTTCTATTGACTAACACTAATGATCTTCAATATATAGAACCGAAAAATGAATTGGAAACGCTTGTTCATTCTGTATGGTGTGAAATCCTTGGCTGTAATCGAATCTCGACGCTAACAAACTTTTTTAGTACTGGTGGTCATTCTCTTCTATTTATTCGAATCTATCAATATTATAGAACATTATTCAATTTTGATAGTGAAACAATAAACACTCGGTCATTCTTTGAACATAATACCATAGCCGAACATGCGAAACTACTAGAAAATATTAAGATCAATAATATAGACGCAAAACAATGGTACACACTACATATTAATCAATGTAAGGCATATACAAGCCCTTCTGCATCAGAATACAATATTTTTCTCCTGATTTATAGGTATTGCATCATATGCTCAAGAGCGCATATTTCTTGATGAGAAAATGCGTTTTTCTGGAGAAATTGCTATTTACAATGAGCTGACTGTTCTACAAGTTACAAAAGGTTCATTATCAGTGAATCGTTTATTGAAAGCACTTCACTGTGTCCTAAGTAAACATAAGATATTAAGAACTTCTCTAGCTTTCAACAACGATGATGGTACTTTGAAACAATCTATTACTGATGAACATCTGACATTTACTTTGGCTGCCGATCAAACATTCAGTAGTGTAACTGAACTTCACAATATGATCTCACGAATAAATACTAATCCTAATTTGTTCGATTTATCAAGTGGTCGTGTTTTTTATTGTCAAATTCTCAAACAACAGATGATACCTAATGAAAATCATGATAAAGAAATTATTACAAATTCTGATGTTCTCGTTACCGGCTTTCATCATGCTGCAATTGATCAGTCAACTGTCACAATTGTTTTAAATGACCTATGTAATATTTACAATAGTAACGTGATGTGGTTAGATGATGAAAAATCATTGCAATATATTGATTATAGTGTCCTTGAACGTCTAATCGACATGACGTCATCACGTAAGTTTTGGCGTTCTCAACTGAATGGATACAATCAAGAATGTCGATTGTCATTGCCAGTCGATCGACATTACTCATATAGTGATCAACGATCTGGATATGCTTCTACTGCTCATATCTCATTTGATAATGAAGTTTCGATATCATTTCTTAATTATGCATCATCACATCAAGTTACACCATTTCAATTATATCTAGCTACATTCTATGCATTTCTCTTCAAGCTAACACATAGACAAAATGATTTATGCATTTCTTGTCACAATGCAAATCGATACAGAGCTGAATTACAGAATATGGTTGGAATGTTTGTTTCAACATTACCATATCGTATTCAAGTTGATTCTGAGTGGTCATTTGATGAACTTGTTGAACATGTGCGAGAAAAATGTTTATCGATTCTTGAACATTCTCATTATCCATTACAACATATTCTTAATGACTCTCAACTTAAGCAACCAAACATTCCATTTCTTGAAACAGCGTTCAATTTCATCACTGTCTCCGAAAATAATCAGTGGTCTATTGATACAGCAACGTTGCAACAATTACCAATGCAGAAATCTAATCGTGCTGCTAAATTTGATTTTGGATTGACTAGTCTTTATAATCCAATATCCGATGATAGGAAACTATCATTTTGTCTAACCTGCTCGCGTGATCTATTTGATCAGACAACAGCTATAATCGTAGCTCAAAGATTAAAACATCTTGTCGATCAACTTTTTTCATCAAAATCAATTTCTGATGAAATTAATCCGAGTCTTACATCTATATCGAAACTTAGCTTGATTTTACCGGCAGAAGCTAAAGAAATTGAAGATACTGTCTTTTGTCGACAACAGAATATTGTCAATGAAGGTAAGTTTGCATAATTCTTTTCTCCTTTATTTTTGTCTATAAGAAAGAGATAATCTGTGATGAATGATCTGTGATGAATGATCTGTGAAAATGGGAAGAAAATCTTGCTTTATGAGCACGATTCATGCCATCACATCTGTATAATTAAGATTGATGTTAGTTGTACAGTTTTTGAGTATGATACTGAATCTTTGATTAGCACACACAATTAACATAACGTCTTACTTTATGGTATATATAACTTACTAACATGAATTAATGTATGTTGCTTGTTTACTGAGTTCCTCTTCTTCCTCTTTTTCTATGAACCACGAAGTAGAAGAATTTCTAGTATAAAAGCAAAAACTTGAACCGATCCTTCTTTTCTCCACAAATATGATCGATATTATAACGAGCACAGTCTAAAATATGAAACTTGGCGAATATATCTGAGAGTCGATTGAGAAAAACCATTAGTTTATAAGCGAATTGAAAAGATCCAAGACATTGATAGTTCTAATCAAGATAGATTTCAACTCATTTATGAAGAATGTTTTGCTATTAGCAATCACAATGATTTTGTGTATTACATTTTAGATTCAGAGACTGTATCGATAGCTTTCTCCTTTGCCTTCTATAAATTCACATAAAAATTAATATGCTAAATATTAATACTTCTAATCTAATTTATACTTTAAAAACGATGCTAAATTTTAATGATATTGTTATTATAAATAATTTCTAATAGTGTGACTTGACTGTGTTTATGATCTTCCAAATTTAGCTAATCTTCGATATTTTTCGGCAACTTCTTATACGTTTTATGGATAATTCCAGTTGACTCAGTAAAATTCTTTCATAATCAGCCATCAAGATTATCGAAAGATGTAGTCATAACTTTAATTATGCCTGATTAATATCTCATTATTAATTGTAGCACCAGCATCATATGCACAAGCTCGCATTTTGTTTAATGAACGAGTTCGATTTGAGCCAGACAAATCACAATTTGCAATCTACAATATGCCTTTTCTCTACCGTATTAGTAAAGGACATACTTTATCAATACAGCAACTTCGGCAGGCTCTTCAGCTAATTGTTAGAAAACATCAATCATTTCGTACATTACTTAACTTTGATACAGAAAAGAATTCATTTATGCAACGAATTGTTGACATCTATGATGATACTAATAGATTATATGCATTAATCGAAAATACTTACGAAACACAAGAACAACTCAATGATATCCTACATAAAGAAAAATATAATCCTCAACGTTTTGATGTTGCTCAAGATCTTGTCTTTCGATGTCATCTTGTTTACTACAAACAAATCTCTTCAAATGATCTACTTTCTGATAAAGATCTACTTATCTTTAACTTTCATCATTCTATATTTGACTATCCATCAATGAATATATTTCTTCATGACCTCAATCAAGCATATAAAACAGGTCAATTATTATATAATGACAACACTAATCTTCGTTATCTTGATTGTAAGTATAATTATTTCTTGGATGCTTCTCATTCTACTAGTATATTATTTTGTTTAATTATATAGATGCTGTTACTGAACAACAAATGCCAATGACTGGTGCAAGTATGTTTTGGCTTGATGCTCTTCATGATTGTAAACTTGATCAACCTTTATCATTACCATTTGATCGATATCGTCTTGCAAATGAACATCGAACTGGCCGTAGAACATCTGTTTCTTTTGATTTTGATCAAAATCTCTCACATGAATTTCTTACACATGCATCATCAAATAGCATATCACTTGAGCATCTTACATTTGCTATTTATTTTATCTTTCTATTTAAACTAACTAATGGACAAACAGATTTATGTCTGGCTATGAACATCAGCAATAATCGATATAGAGATGAACTCAAAGCAATCATTGGACTTTTTGAGAATATCATTCCATTACGATGCCAATTAAATCCTCATTGGTCTTTTCATCAATTACTGGAACATGTTCGAGATATAACAACGAAGAGTATGAAATATTCATTTTTTCCACTACAACGTATTATCGATCTACATCCAAATATTTCTGAATATGAATTTTTGAATACATCTTTGGAGTTTATATCACATAAGAGTAACATAAACAACAATTCAATAATGATTGGTGATTCTGAAATTGTTCCAGCTTCTTCCTCATTCAACGAGAATGAAGATGAAATATTAAGTGTAACCGACTTCTCTCTTTCTATTTATCATGATATGAACAACAATCAACTATCATGCACAATCAATGCATCACTTGATTTGTTCGAAAGAGAGACATTAGAGAAGATTTCACAACGATTTCATTCAATGTTAGATCGATTATCTACATCTATTATTGATAATCAAATGAACAAACCAATCTATGAGTTATCATTAATATTATCAAACGAACAATATCTGATGCAAGCATTGAATAATACACAAGTATCATTTTCAGCTCCTGTCACTTGTATTCATCATGAATTTGCATATCAAGTAATGAAACATCCACAGAAACTAGCTGTTGAACTAGATGAACAATCATTGACATATTGTGAACTCTTGTACTATGTTCAAGTGTTATCTTTAACTCTTCTTAATGAATACCATATCTTTCCAGGTGAGGTTGTATGTCAGTGTGTCGACCGAAGTCTGTCGATGGTAAGTTGCTTAGGGGAACTAACGAGAAAGGTTCACCAACTTGAAAATCACTTTTGAGCTGATATTTTGTGCATAAGTAAATACTAGTGAGTCTAGTAAAAGCCTAAAAGAATAGCTACTAATAGCGCTTTCTCTTCGAGTTATAGTCAATTTACTGAAATTTGAGCCTTTATCTTGATATAAAGATGAAAATCGAGTGATCACAGTTTGGCCTGAATTCTTGTTCATAGATAGTACTACATATAGATGGCATCTCCTGAAAACTTCAGTTCAATCGGACACTTCCTTCACAAGATAATGTATTTCAAAAAGCGCTCATATTTTACCAACGATATAAAAAAATTCTGTTTTTCTAAAAATTTATTATCTCGTGAAGGAAGTGTCCGATTGAACTGAAGTTTTCAGGAGATGCCATATATACGTAGTACTATCTATGAACAAGAATGCAGGCCAAACTGTGATCACTCGATTTTCATCTTTATATCAAGATAAAGGCTCAAATTTCAGTAAATTGATTATAACTCGAAGAGAAAGCGCTATTAGTAGCTATTCTTTTAGGCTTTTACTAGACTCACTAGTATCTACTTATGCACAAAATATCAGCTCAAAAGTGATTTTCAAGTTGGTGAACCTTCCTCGCAAGTAGTGATAAGGGTTTGAGATTGATTTTGATTAGGTGATCGGTATAATGGCGATTGAAATGGCTGGTGGTGTCTATTGTCCATTATCACCTCGAGATCCACAACATCGTTTGCATGCACTCACACAACAAACACAAAGTCGTCTTGTTCTTGTTCATTATTTAACTAAGACCAAATTCGATGATGATATTGCTTCACTTGATATTGATTCAGTATTAACGGGTCACGTTACTGAGTGTGTTATTAATGTGATCCGACTATCGAAAACTACAACAGTGCCACACGATATCGCGTATATTATTTTTACAAGTGGTTCAACTGGAACACCTAAAGCGGTTTGTTAAGATTCATTTTTTAATATATGATTAATTTTCATTCTCTCTAATAGGTTCAAGTTCGACATGAGAATTTTATTGATTGTATACATTCTTTGACTTACATTGACTCATTTAATAAAGATGATACAGTTGCACAAATGACACGATGCTCATTTGACATTCATGTTCAAGAAATATTTGGTACATTGTTGGTTGGATGTACAGTGATTATGCTTCATCCAGGCGGAATGACTGATTTTGACTATTTATCCAATGTCTTACAGAAAAAACAGATCACATATCTAAGTACTGTTCCAAGTCTTCTGCATAGTTTTTTCAGTTTTATCGAGAAGAACGAAAGAGTAAATGCTGTGAAATATCTTCGATCACTGTGCAGCGGTGGTAGGTGACTTCTAAACAAAATCCATTCATTTGTTTAGTATATGTTCATTATTGTAGGTGGACCTTTTTCTGTTCCTTTAATTAGTTTGATTGTGCAAGTCGGTATAAAAAATGGTATTGTATGGAATTTGTATGGTCCAGCTGAAACAACTATAACTTGTACAGTTCATCGTGTGAACGTTAGAAATAATATACAGAGCATTTCAATTGGTAGACCACTTTCTAATTATCGATGTATGATTATGAATCAATATTTACAATCATCTGTTACCGACCAAGAAGGTGAGCTGCTAGTGGCAGGAGCAGGCATCTTTGCTGGTTATCTTGGACGTGATGATTTGACTGCAAAGGCTCTTGTTGAAATAGATGGTCAACTATGTTATCGAACAGGTGATCTTGTTAGAATGGATAACAATTGTCTTCCTCATTATCAAGGAAGAAAAGATCATCAGGTAAAATTACATGGACAACGAATCGAACTTGGTGAAATCGAACGATGTTTACTTAGCATTACATCCATCTCTGCTTGTGTTGTCATGAAATGGAATGATGCCTACTTAGTTGCTTATGTTCAATCATCTCATATCAATGAAGAACAACTACGCCAACATTGTCAATCTCATCTTCCACCACATATGATACCATCAATATGTGTTATACTTGATAAATTACCTTTGAATCAAAATGGAAAAATAGATCGAAAACTTCTGCCTCCGCCTCAGTTTTCAGCTGGCAACAATATTCAGTGTATCGACTCGTTGACATTGACACCACTTGAAGAACATCTGCGGCACATTTTTAAGAAGGCATTTCATAATGATTCACCTAATGTAAATACGCCATTCGGACAGATGGGTGGTACTTCACTCGATGCTATACGAGCCCTATCGCTTATTCGACAAGAAGTATGCACTAAAGTTGATGCTCCTCTTCTATTTGCCAATCCATCTATTCGACAACTTGCACGGGCCATTGAACCTTTATTAGTTCGACACGGAGACTTGACTATTCCAGTTGCCGCTTTGTCAGTAACGGAATATCAAGATCGACCAAAACCATGTTTATATATCGAAATATCAGGCATTCTGTTACTTATGTGTCAGTGGATCCTACCCATATGGTTAGTTTATCAATTTCATTCATTGTTTACTGTCATCTTTGTTCCCTTCGTTCATCTTTTTGCATATGTTCTCTGTCATCGTTTGTTGTTTCGGTCTGAGACGACTGCAAGGAAAGTAGACAAATTATATTCCTGGTATTATTATCGTTGGTGGTTTTTGTCGAGTATGTGGTCGATTAATAATTCTTATTGGCTAAAGCATTTGTTGGGTACACCATTTTACAATTCTTATCTTCGATTATGTGGTGCCAAAATTGGATGTCATTCACATATATACACAACACTTATCGATGCACCTTGGTTGCTTGAAGTGGATGAATTTACATTTGTTGGTGAGGAAGTAGTGCTTGCAAATTTATCATATCAAGATCAAACCTACGAACTTCATCAAATTCACATTGGATCATACTGCTCCATCAGCATGCGTTCTGTGTTGTATGAACATGCTGTGATCGAAGATTATTCTTATGTAGAACCAATGTCAACTCTTACAGGCCTCATTTCTACAACAAACCATCGTATCTCCACTCAAGATCGTCGTTTATCATTATATCAATCTATCTATCAATTCATGTGCTTATTCTTTCTTCTCTTCATACATAGTCTCCTTCTTTTACTCGTCTATCACATATATTCTTGCTGTCGAATATTACTATTACCGTTATCTCTTACTTTAGCTTTGTGCTGGACAATGTGGACATTAACAAGCCTCTTTATTGCAACATTTCTACTGAAATTTGTCGTGAGATTTGTTACTTCAGGTCACTATCCACTTAATTCTATATATTATTTGCATAAAATATGGTTACGTCAATTGATTATAACATCATTTCGTTATTCATTCGATTTTGTACCATCATATGACGTTTTTGCATCTATGATTCTACGTTGGTTAGGTGCTCAAATTGAAGATGATGTGAAATTCGCTGAATTTCGAGAGATTATTTACTTTCCATCAAATTTACTTCATATCAAAAGTGGTGTGACAACATTTGGTGGAGCTAAACCAGCTCCTTTCGAAATGACAAAAGAAGGTCGTTGTTTTCTCGATGAGATATATCTTAGTTCAGGTTCAAATCTCACTAATTGGTGTACAATCATGCCAGGTGCACGACTTGTATCTAACACAATGGTTGGTAGTCTTACTTTAGTTCAACAAGATACAGTTATTAAAGACATGAATCGTGTTTTACTTGGTATTCCAGCTCGTGAAATGCCCTTTAGCTTGCCTTCTTCCACATCACTTGTCAATGATTTAACATCATCATCTTCAAACTATGTATCTTTTTATAGTATATTGATTACGTGTATCAGTTTCTTTATAAGTAAATATATTATCATCACTCTGTATTCATCATTACCGTTTGGCATTGCACCATTTCTTCATCTTATTCTTGTGTGTATTCCTTATTATTATTTGGTTTCAATTAAAAATAACAGAACACAGTCTCTATTTTCTAAGATAATTATTCACCTTCCATGGTTCTTTCATACATTCATAAACGATTTTTACGTCTTGGTCGGATCATATCTATCTGGAACACAATATCTTGTTTTTCTTTATCGTATTCTTGGTGCTGAGATTGGATTTGATGTCATTCTACCTAATATCACCTGTGTTACTGATCCTCATCTGACAACTATCGGTAATCATGTTCGTTTACACATGGGTGCTCATGTTCAGGTAAAAGAATACTTCTTTGCTATACAGATCGGTAAATATATTATTTGTTTTTTTAAAATTATTTCTTAAGTGTCATACATTTGAGCAACGTTTGTTGAAATTTGTACCAGTGACTGTCAATGATTCGAGCGTGATTATGAGTAATTCATTGGTACTTTCTGGAGCACAACTACATGGACACAATCGCTTACTACCATGGACATTTGTGATGAAGGATGATCAAGTACCAGCTAAAACTAATTGGTCAGGAGTACCAGCACGACAAATTCAAATATGATTTACTTCGAAATATATTATCAATCGAACGATATATAAACAAGAAAAATAAAAATAAAGACATACTTTGTCATTCTCGACGTTGCTTTTTGTTCTCTTTGTGAATTTATATAACATAGAGCTACATTTTCTTCTTCTCGCTTTTTCATTACTTAATAAATGTCCTTTTGTGTGTCGTAGATTTTTAAAAAGTTTGTTTTTTTCTTACATTTAGATAAAATAGAAAAACAAGGTATTATCACAATTATTTCATGAACTATATGTATACACAAAGTCAAATATGAATAATGTAAGAAAAAAAAAGATAAGACGGTTTATATCAGATTAAATATTTTTAGAAATATTTTATATTAGTTATTTTGTTAAATTTAGTCGTTGAAATATCTTTGTCATCAAGTGATAGCGCATCTCGAATATCGAATGGTATATTATATTCTCATGAAAAATTTATTTCATCGGAAAATCGTTTTTATTTTGGTTTATATGAATGTCGAAGTCGGTTACGATGTATTAATTTATGTCAAGGGTGCGGGTGTGGGTGTGAGTGAGGACGTGGGTGTGGGTAAGGAAAAGACGAATCTTCGGTCACACCCACATCCATCCACACCTATACCCACACCCACACCC